CTTGAACCTGGGAAGCAGAAGTTGCAGTGAACGCCACTGCATTCCAGCCTGGTCAACCGAGTGAGACTCCGTCTCAAAAAAAAAAAAAGAAGAGTTGCAGTTGCAAGACAAGTGATCTCTTGATTAGCAACTTAAAATTCTATTTTGCAGTCTGACTCTTGAGACAATGTAATATATTTACCATACTTTTAGTGGAAAGGACCTAAATTCAAATTCTGCCACTTACTAGTCTGACACTGGGTAATTTCCAATGTACCTGAACCTTGGTTCCTTCATCTAAAGAAATGGAATACAAGTAGTACTGATCCCAGGGGATGGTTATGAGGATTAAATAATGTATATGTAGGCCAGGTGCGGTGGCTCACACCTGTAATCCAAGCATTTTGGGAGGCCAAGGCAGGTGGATCACAAGATCAGGAATTCAAGACCAGGTTGGCCAAGGTGGTGAAACCCTGTCTCTACTAAGAATACAAAAACTGGCCGGGTGCGGTGGCTCATGCCTGTGATCCAGGTACTTTAGAGGCCAAGGCGGGCGGATCACCTGAGATCGGGAGTTCAGGACCAGCCTGACCAACATGGTGAAACCCCGTCTTTAAAAAAAATAAAAAATAAAAATACAAAAATTAGCCGGGCACAGGTTACAGGTAGGTGCCTGTAATCCCAGCTACTTGGGAGGCTGAGGCAGGAGAATTGCTTGAACCTGGGAGGTGGAGGTTGCAGTGAGCCAAAATCATGCCACTGCACTTTAGTCTGGGCAACAGAGCAAGGCTCTGTCTCAAATAAATAAATAAAATGTAAACAGCCTACTATGGGGACTGACACTCAGTAGGCACTCATTTACTAATATTAATAACCTGTGTTCACTTCCCACTGGTATGGTGTAATGTTTGCAGAAATTTTTGCAGTTTTGAGTATAAAATCTGAGACTAGGAAGTGATCCCCTTTGGCCTTTCGTGTGCCCTTGCTAATTCTACAGATCACTTCCCCCAAATATACACCCCAATGATAAGTAGAGCTCTATCTCCTACGTCCTTTCCAAAAGCTCCAGATAACATCAGAGCCTCTACACTGAAGAATTTGTCTGATCCTGAGAGGGGGGTTCAGTAGATCTCGGGCCTAGGTCCGTGTTCTGCCTCTAATTTGACCAAGTGATCTTGAACAGGTTACTTAATCTCTTCAGTGAGCCTCGGGTGTCCTCAGTCATAAAAGGAGTGGCAGCCTCGACCACTCCCAATGTCCCTTCAGATTCTAGATTGGGAAAAAACTGTCCACGCACCACAAAGATTAAAAGCGACTGGAAACCCCTAAATACTCTCCCCAAATCCATTTCAAATGTCACTGCTTCCAATTTCTGGGCTGCTTAGCATTTTTTACACATCTCAAGGATCCACACTGGTCCCTGCGCCCTCACGCGGCAGAGACCTCACACGTTCTATGTCGCGGGCGCCCGACCCTCTCAGGAGCTAGGTCGGATTCCCAAGAGCGCTTCAGTAAGGACCGAATGAAATAACGCCCCCCAGGCGCCTGACAGAGCCCAGCATAAGGCAAGCGCTCAAGAGATGCTGTCTAATATCAGCAGTCAACGGATCCAGCGCCCTCCTTGAGCCTCAGTTTCCTCAAAGATGTAATGAGGACGGGCAGAAACACTGCTCAAAGCCCCCAGCAGCGGGCAGAGGGTCCCGGGGCGAGCCTAAGGGGCGCACGCTGCGGGAGGCAGAGCAGCCCCAGAAGCTGGGCGCCCCTTGAGAGTCCCGGGTCCAGCCCGGCGCCGAGATGCGCCCTCTCACCTCCCGGACTCAGCAGCAGCTTCAATGCTTCCAAAATCCGATCCAAACCGCATATCTCCTGAGCCGCGTTGCCAACGGCCTGTCCCGAGGCCGCCATGACTGGAGTGGAACGCTACGTTCGTAACTCCCTCAGGCGCCACGGCAGCGCCCCGCCGCCGCCATGTTGAGTGTGGCAGAACGCGCAGGGCGCACTATGGGGCGGGACCCGCAGCGTGGGGCGGGGCCAAATCGGTCGGGAACGCCGCCTTCACATTTTTTTTCTGTCCCGGCTTAGTCCAGGAAGTCTGAGGGAACACAAAAGTGGCTAACACAATCTGCCCACGCACACAATTTCCGAAGCTCAGTATGCTTAACTTCTATGTAAAGAAGGAAGAGAGAAGTAATTTATCATAAAAGAATCTATTTTTCAATATGAAAATACTCAGGTACTCAACACTGGCAGACATAATGAAGCAGACAGATACATCTGCTTACAGTGAAGCATGGATAAGAAAAACAATATTCAGACTGGGCGCGGTGGCTGACGCCTGTAATCCCAACACTTTGGGAGGCTGGCGGGTAGATCACTTGAAATCAGGAGGTCGAGACCAGCCTGGCTAACATGGTGAAACCCCGTCTCTACTAAAAATACAAAAACTAGCCAGGCGTGGTGGCAACCACACCCAGTATCTCCATCCTGCACCATGAGGGCTGGGCACTTAGACGTGTGGGCACCCACAGCCCTGCACATTCAGGATCTGTCTACACCCACACCCCATCCCTTCCACAAAGCAGCTACCACTTGGCCCCTCTGGGTCTAGAACTGCAGACGGGAAGCACAGTGCACCGTCCAGAGGGCAGACCAAGGGAAGAGTCCTACAGTCCTAGAAGGCCTGAGATGGTTGGGCAGGGAATTCCACAGCCTCAGAACCCAGAGTGTGGGCTGGGTGTGGTTGCTCATGCCTGTAATCCCAGCACTTTGGGAGGCTGAGGTGTGAGGATTGCTTTTGCCCAGGAGTGTGACACCAGGCTGGGCAAAATAGGGAGACCCTGTCTCTATAAAAGAAATACAAAAATTAGCCAGGCCTGTTGGCATGTACCTGTGGTCCAGCTACTTGAGAAGCTGAAGAGGGAGGATCCCCTGAGCCCAGGAGGTTGAGGCTACAGTAAGCCATGATTACACCACTACACTCCAGCCTGACTGAGACCCTGTCTCAAACAAACAAACAAAGAATACAGAATGTGGTCTTGGAGGAGGGTGACGATTTTGAGATTTGGGGATGGGCAAGTCCTCCAGGCCTGGCAGATTTCTTGCCGAGGAAGAGGGGCATGGCAGAGGAGCCCAGATGGAGCCTCTTGAGCACGAGCCCAGGGCCAGGAGCTTACCAAGCCTAAGTCTGAGGGCAGTACTGGTGTGGGATTTACAAAAGATGATTAGGCTGGGCGTGGTGCCTCATGCCTATAATCCCAGCACTTTGGGAGGCCAAGGCGGGTGGATCATGAGGTCAAGAGATCGAGACCATCCTGGTCAACAAGGTGAAACCTCGTCTCTCCTAAAAATACAAAAATTAGCTGGGCATGATGGTGCGTGCCTATAGTCCCAGCTACTCGGGAGGCTGAGGCAGGAGAATTGCTTGAACCCAG